GTGGGTCACAATTAGTTTCAAAGCACGAACTAGTCAACATCGAATGTAGCTCAAATCCACGAAATTGAGTTTGGTTTGCAGTAATTATTCACAAAAACGTCAAAAGCTTGATTATGGTTTCCGATTTATTTAAAATTTCCATTAAACAAGGCTGAATTTCTTTATTCTTTTGCTCATTTAGCCATTTTCACACAGTTTTTTTACAAGTTTAACTTGCAAGTAGTCACGAAAATGGCGGCTCCGCGCTCGCCCCAGACCCGTTGTCCTTATTCTTACAAAAAGAGGGCTCTGACACCGAACGCATTAAAGACAAAAGAACCATTGTCAAATGAAGATTGACTGAAGTCCATTTTTATATCTAAGCCTCTAATAATCAATTGTAAATGCAAGTGTCAATGCCTAAATGATATATACATTAAACTTGTGTTAATGGAAGTTCAAAAGAATTCTATAACTGCATTAAATTCGATTTTTGAAAGGTATTATTTTTCTTAGGAAATGCTCGAGATTCATTATTTTATCATAAAGGCATGGCGTTTACAACAAAAGATTCAGATAATGATACAAATGGAGGAAACTGTGCCACATACTACAAAGGTGCTTGGTGGTATAAGAGTTGTTATGATTCTAACCTGAATGGACACTACTATAGTGGCAACCAAATCAATGCCCAAGGTGTGATTTGGGGTCATTGGAAAGTTTATGAATCCTTAAAGTTCACTGAGATGAAAATAAAACCATAAAGAATTTCCAAAAACTGTGATGTTATAAATTTGATCATTATTTCTAATGGTACTTTCAACATATAATAAAAACATTTTAGCTTTTATGTCTTTTAAAACAACCTTGATGAAATTGTTAAAAATGCGTTGGTGAAACAATACTTTTCTAATATTTTCCCTAAAAATTAGAGCTGATTTAGGTAATTATATGATTCTAATGTTACGTCTTTTCACTCATTTTTTTAATGAGATGTTGCTCTTTAAAGCCCGGTTTCCATATGATCATTCCATTTTTTGTAGAAGCCACAGAGACGATCATATGAAAACGCTCAACTCAAACGACAAAAGCGATCCTTACGTTACGAACGATCCTTGCGTATCAATCGTTTGAGATAGACTAGAGTTCTATCCTTGCGACAGAAACGACCGGAAACACCTTTTACGCGCTTGCATTTTTTTATTGGAAACCGGTGCAAAACGATCGTTACGAAGTAGCTAATTTTATGTTTTTGCCCCGTTTCACGCAATCTTGATGTATCATGCATTTCATGCAATTATCTTACATGATATTCACTATCTAAGCAATGTCACTTTTGATTGGTCAACTACCTGCATATAATTCTAGATATCTGTAGGTAAGACGTCTATTTACAAATAACAGTTTGTCATGAAAAGCCGATTTTGAAAAAAATTCAAATCATTACCCGTGTCGCATGTTCTCAATCGTCTGAAGCAAGACTTCTCAAATGACATGGTTTCTCACATTTAATAAGACTTGTACGTTTATATAGCACGTTGTGCTTTTTCAAAATAAACAAATTGTAAAAACAAAGGTTTGATATCTGCTTCCACTTAAATTAAAAATTTGCAAAGAGGATCGTCATGAAATGAATTGTATTTGCTTTATTGGCTTCTTTGTAACGTTAGATGCAAGTCATAATGAATAATAATCGTATATCTTGCACAGTAAACTTTATTCTTTATTTAGCATCCTTCCTTAGTTAAGCTCCTTTTCTCTACAGAACCTCTTTCCTTATTCAACCTCCTGCTCTTTCCAAAATCTCCTGCCTAACTTAACTTTTTTTTTTGCTAAACTTTCTACTCCACTAAACTTTATACTTTACAAAACCTCCTTCTTTACTAAATATAAATTTTACTAAATTTCCGGGAGTTGTTGCTCTGTTTGACCTTCAAATCTGACCATGTAGTTATTACCATGTAGTTTCCCCTTCTTGATTGAAAGCTGTTCTAATTATCTAATTTTCAGGAAATAACGGCTTACCTATCTATCTTTAACCCCAATGCAGCCAACTTTCTTAAGATCTGTAGACCTGTTAAAAAAAAACTAGATTTTTCTTCAAGTACACCAAAGAAGCTGATAAATAAAACGTTAGACTCTGTAGCATTATTATCAATGCTGATTGTTAAAGGCAAATAGTAAGTAAAATTCTCAATGATAATATATGTAACGCAATTAAATGCCTGTAAAGAAAAATCCATTTATTTGTTTTCGTCCTTAGATTTAATCAAAAAAGTAAACCGGACGATACAAAATTTAATGACTGTAATCTTTGGAAAATCTTTTCATTTCAATATCGTCAATTAAACAGAAACACATTGCGCGCTACCTAAATGATTTTCGTGATTTAAAATCAACACAAAACTTTATCCTTATGTTAGAGATATAAAAAACGCTTCTTTTTGCTCACATCATATCCAAAATTTAATGACTTTTTAATTCTTTTTTCCTTTATGGGCTGTGGCGTTGCCAGCCCTCAATTAATTCTTTGTACGCCTTAAATTTATTCATGTTACGCCCTCTTTTTATTCATGATACTTATTTTTTTATCATCAGCATCATTCATTTTATTAAAAATTCATAATATTATGAACAACAAAATGTTTACATGGCAAGAAGAAACTTGCGGGTTTGCTACGCCACTGATCATGTGATAGTTTCATGTACGTATATCTTTCCTTATTTCCTTATGGGTCAAATTAAATACTATTCCTGTTAATCCTATCATGCAATTTAATGCAATGTAATTTTTTAATTAGATTGTTCATTTAGCTAGCTGTATCTAAGACTATTGAAGATGTCTTATGTGTCTCAACAAAGAAACGTCTCCAATAAAAAACCTTCATGCTACAAATTTATTTAAAAAATGCACGCTTTAAAATATATAAACATTGGGCTTACCTCTTAGTGATGGACCATTATATTTATATAGAAGATAAAAGAAATGCTTGACCATTGAAGAACTGCTTGTTCTTGGTAAAACTGTTGATATGCCGTTTTCCAATGCATTGAATTTTTACGATAGGCTTGGCCTTCAATCTAGTATTTTGTCAGTGTCAAGTTGACAACATATCTAAAGTTACAGCTATATAAATAATTCTTCAATGATTAATACTTGGTTACTAAGTATGAATGATTTCAACAAAAAACTGCCATAAACTACTTTAAATGTAATATATATGTTAATTTGGATATGTACGATAAACACAAATCATAAAATCCAAAGCTCTAATGACATACTTCAATGTTGAAGCAGAGAACTTCGACTCCAAGAGAACATTTAAGTGAGCATACATAGAAACAGAGACATGTGAATTCAGCGTCCACTTCGTTCAAACACAATCAACTCTTTGTCATTCGAACTTTCGTGAGATTGTACTTTGAGATCATGTTAAAGCACCACATATATTGCTTTTGTAATTGCAGTTAAATGCGATGTGGATATTGCGATTGTGGTTGTGTTTAGGGGTTTTAAATTCTTGAATTGCAACCAGCCTCCAGGGACTTATCGAACAATGTGGCTCACCCAAGATGGCTGATGCCCACAATAACACTAGTTAAATGCTTTTAAACGTGTAACTGTGTAAGCATTAATAATTTAAAATTCACTTCATGCCCAGGAAGACGAAAACAGTCACATTACAAACTCAAAAAGCGGCAGTCGTTTTGAGTATGATTTGATTACATCAACTTCATTTAGATAAACATGTTATAAACTCATATTTCATCAATATCATTGATTGAAACAATATTTTTTATTACTTCATGAAATGATTACAGTTTTCTTGACTTCTAGCTATGACAATTTTTTGCTTATTTTCTCAGAGTAAACAACGAGTGTAAATGTTTAAGACATATTACATGACGTAATGAAATCGATATTGATCATTGTCATGAAATCATATGTATTATGAAAATTCTTCATGGTTTGATTTTCATTTCACTTGTTTTCACGTTATTAAAACCATACCAAGCAAGATTTTTACCATTTAGGTTGGAATAATGACAACTATTATACCACCAAGCACCTTGCCAGTAAGCAGCGCAGCTTCCTTCATATTTGTCATTATCAGAATCTTTTGTTGAAAACGCCCTGTCTTTATGATAGCTCAATGCATCCCTAACATTTCCTAAAAAGTAGTAATGGCTCTTGAGATCTGTCATGATCTGTATTTTAAAGTACACATGAACACATTTTGGTGTTAATTATTCTGATAGATCTCAAAAAAGTTATTCAGAAAATTCTAAATTTCATTTTGTGTATTTAAATTTCGGTGTTTCGATGGCCTAATTTAAACACGGGACTTCACCAAAAGGAGAACTCATTGAATTTATGTTATGTATAAATTTTTTTAGTCCAGGCTTACAATTTTACATGCTTTACAAGCAAAAATCTTTTCATCTCACGGAAATTTACAAATATACCGTTCCTTTTTGTGCTGTCATGCTTGCACCATTCCCTTCCTTGGTTATATAAAGACAAAACATAATAAAAATAATGTTAAAACCACGAGAAGTTAAACTTGAATCCTAACTTCATTAGTATTTTCTCTGATAGCATAATATTTAATTTTGTAAATATGAATTAAAGATGACCTTTAAGCGAAAATCTAAAAGGTAAGAATTCTAAAATTTGTAAATTGATTACAATTTGTACTATCACTACTATGGTATGGCATATGGGTGAAACATGTTTTACTGTTGGTTGACAATATTGGTGATTAATAAAGCAGGGACGATTTTCATATTAGAATTTATAATTTTCATTACCTATTATGTTATATTTTTTAGATGTTGATCGTCCAGCTTTGTGCAGTCCTGAAAAGAATTCTTGGTGTTGGTGTGTTACTTGACTCTGATGATCAAAGGATGTCAAAATCTCAATCATTAACAACACCAACAGTCATTTTCAGGACTGCTCGAACCTTGAAGATCTACATCTACAAGCATTTAGCTTTACTCATGTTTTATTTTTCAAGGGAGAAAAAATGTTAATTATACTGATATGAGCTCCAATTGTGAAAGTGATGGTAATGTATTGTACATACAGTGATCTCATAGCTACGTAGCTAATAATGAAAATTATAATTGCTCCGTTTTACAGTAAAGTATGTGGTTATACACTGTGGTTTACATAGGTAGGAGAAGGGTACATTTTATATTGTATCAGTTTACATGTACCTACATAGACACTGTTCAAAAAAATACTAATGCTACAAATGTGAATGTAGGCCCCACAATTATTTACTGGCTGCATGATTGATCTAGTGCGCTATTAAACATTTTACATTGTTTTATTGTGAAAAAGTTGATATTATTAATTTGGTAGATATGCAATAAATATATACGGGGATCCATACTTTACTTCCTTTTCAATGTCATACCTGCGTGTTCTATAGATTTCTCTTGTTTTAAATTGCTAAGTTTTGTATTTATGACTTCATGATGTTTCAGATGATTTTGAAGTTGATTTTGAACCACAAACAAAGAAGGCGAAGCATAAAGAGAAGGAAATGAACAAAGAGAAGAAAGGCGAGAGAAGGTGTGACCCAAAAATAGATTTTTAATTTTGGCTAAAGGGCATCATGCGGTTTTACACAGATATTATAGTAGATCTCTAATCCTTTATAAGCCTTTGTTTTGCCTTGTGTAATCCAATGTACACACTAATTTCTTCAATGTGTGATACAACAAAGTCATGAGATTTTTTTCTATTGTAAGGCCTTCCGTTCGTGAAAAGTTGTACCAAAGAGATATAGAAAAAGCAATTGAAATGTCACTAATAAATACACCTTATGAAAGAAAGGATAATGAAAATACATAATCATTATTATTTAAGATGCAGTAGCATGTACATATAATGCTGATTGCTCTCCTACTCATTTAATCTAATTAAGATGATGATGCACGCGACACCTGCGATGCACGTGACACCTGCGATAAGAGTAGTGCTAAAGTGAACAAGATTCATGACAATGATGTCGAAAGTGATTCCGATGAAGAGAAAATTGCGAACCTGAAGAACGGCAAGAAAATGTCTGGTGGGAGTCATATGTTTTCCGGTAGGCTTTATTTTTGTATTTATAAAAATTGTCATTGATTTGAAGTGTCCTATTTGCATATAATGAAATAACCAAAATGTAGTTGGCATGATTATACAATCAAAATATCAAAACAGTTTGATACATACATAATTGCATTTGCTCGCAGCTTGTCGTTCGTGTTATTCTTATTAGTTTTTCTTCTGACGAGTGCTTATAATAACAAATTTTTGATACACATTTGTTTTAAAAAGAGTCATCCGACTACAAATGCACCCCTGTTGTTGGTACAAAGGAGAAAAAGTCCTCACCTATAAATTCTTCGAAAGAGAATGTTAAGCATTTGAAAAATGAAGGGAAAATTTCCACATTTTCTTGCGTTGGTACAAAGGAGAAAAAGTCATCACCTATAAATTCTTCTAAAGAGAGCGTTAAGCATATGAAAAATGAGGGGACAATCTCAGCATTTTCTTTACCTAAACTGTTTACAAACAAAACTAGCGGTTCTTTTTGCCTTGGCGGTGTTAAAATAAAGAATCCAGGTCCGCCATTACGTGTAGGGCTATCAAGAAACCATAAAGTAAAACCACTTCACAATAACGTTACGCTTTCTCAATAACAACTTACTTACACCAAAATATTTTATCTCTGTTTTAAAAAAATATGTGAAATGAGTTGTAGGTGATTTGTAAATATTTCAATGTATAATAAACATTGTAATTATACACTAAAAAAAAACTCAAAACATGTCGTTACGGCCAATTGCTGGAGAGTGTAAAGTCAATCTATGAAAACCACTAACTAAATAGTATTTGGTAAGCCTTCCTCCAGCCATGCTATATACGTACGAAGGATTTTAGGCTATCACGTGATAATTTCCCCAAGCAATGTGGATACTCTCCCGCTGTTCATTCTTGGGATTTTAGTTTTGGACCATAGTTTCTACAGTTCTTACTTGCTACATAGTCACTGACATTTCTTTAGCTGTAACCCACTTCACTAGCAAGTTCGCTTTTGAAGTAGCATTGATCTTTCGACCTTACCAATACCATTCCACGACATTCAACATTGATTATTGGCTTTGGACGTATAATTCAGTAAATTGTCTAGATTCTTCTTATCCACTGAATAATTTTTTTTTACTAAGTGGTGTTGGAATGAAGTTAAGGAATGAAGTGTTGGAATGAATATTAGCCTTAAAGTGAATGGTTTAAACCGGGAACTCTGAAGATGACTACCGCTACGGTTGTCGAAACGTCAGTCAACATCAACACGGACAGTCCTTAGGACTTTATTGTCATGGGTGATCTACATCTACAAACATATATATACGTCAAATGTCATTTGTGACTGTTGTGGGACATCTAACCGTGGTTAAATATGATTAACAACGAAATGTAAATTTGTATTATAAGCTATAACGTCTTCCTATATAAAAAAGAAAATTGATCAGTTTATTTTGACAGTTGAATGGCGAAATTATACGGACTATTATAAATTGTAAGGGAGAGAAAGTCGTTTGAAACTTGGTTTTTGGCTTGCGCTTGTAGCCAACCATTGTACATTTGCATATTTAAATTATTGGTTCTGTCTTGCACATTAAATATCAAGAGTATATAACTTTCACGCAAATGCCTTCAAGAGCGTTAACTGTGCCTCATAAAAATGTTTCTACTTTTATCAAACTTATTTCTGATTCCTTTTTGTATACAATACGTAATACAATTATATGGCTTTCAATACTGGCTCCTTAAACTTATCCATTCAAAATTCCATCACTATTGTCTATAAAATGATTTAAAAGTGGCAGGTTTGCATGTCCATCCTACGATTTAAAACTTTTGCCATTAACCTTAAATGATGCCCAAGTATTGACATGCTAAAACTGGTATTTGCGATAGATTTCAATTGCCTCTGTTGCCTGTTTTGACCAAAACTCCCCAGTGATCTGTTTTATAAACGGCAGAAACCTTTATACGTATGTCGCACGTTGATCTTTTAGACCTGGTCATTAGCAACACAAGCCGTTTCTGGTTTTTTTGGTTTCTATAGTAACCTTGATGTGCGAATACAAAAAAACGCCCTGTTCTTGCACTCAGTTCGTGTCAGCAACGTCTAAGAGAAAATATCATTTTGGAATGTCTGCTTCATGTAAATGACGAACTTTGAACATGTTACGATAAAGCATTCGTTCATCACTGCAAGCAAAGCTTTATTTTATACTGGACGGGGTATATTTGCCCTCCATTTTGACACGACATCAATAATTTTTTGTTCGAGAAATACTCATATCAATGTTTATAGTTTTGTGTTTTGTATTGTACACATAAATCGTAAACTACGTAACTATTCAGAGATTGCGCAAGCTTGATAATTGGGGGGGAGGGGCAAATATTCATATATGCATGTTCTACTTTGGTTGCTCCTAACAGTCGATTCATTTCAATTGAATTCATGATCCACCTTTAAATATACTAAAAGCATAGAAACCTACATTGTCTTGTATTTTTAAGCTTTTGACAATTACAAGGAAAATATGCATGTGTTTGTATAAGTTTTCAAAGTTCCTTTGTCGACGCATCCTTGTAAAAATCTCACTTTTGAATAATGTTTTTCCATATCTGTACAACATCATACATTAGGGCATTGTCAATTGCTTAAAAAATGTTTTGGGATAACGAAACAACAGTCTCAACCTCAAGGCCAAAATATGTCAAAATGTCATTATACGAAGTTTGCATTCTGTACAATTCTTGCTCGCTGGGTTAGATTGTCCATCTTCTAAATGTGTTTTTCTCGCGAAATGACTCTAGCCAGTCACGTGCTGCTTTCATTGATAAATTCATAGGTCCCTGTCCACCCACGTATGCGACTTTACCATCTTCGATGGCGTAGAGTCTCTCAGGCAACGCTCCATAGGCCACATTTGCATTCTCGTCCATTGTATCTACCAATATTTGACATGGAAGATTGAGTTCTTGTAGCTTTTGCGCGGCTTTGCATCTTTTATATTGATTTCGATGCTTTCGTACTTTGATAAAGTTATTCTAAAATGAAGTGAAATTAGCTTCCTTCATGACTTTATCAAGAAATCTTAAGACATGTTTTTCTATACACAAAAGATTGTCAAATAATGAAAGGGACGATTCTTTTTCAAACAACATCTTTGTTTTGCCTAATGAAAGTATAGTTCAACAGAAGTTCACTATTTCTGCCTTTGAAAAAGGTCCCGTTTTTATTAGTAAGATAAAAAAGCTATTATTATGTCAGCAGAACATTTTGTCTGGCTATATATCCTACTAAAATATTATGAGTATTTGCAAAAGATTTTTACCTGATGAAATTTATATGCTTCGTTATTATTATTATGGTTATACAAAGAATGTTTTATAAATCACGAAATTGCTGTAGCCGTTTCTTTCATGTTATACTGGAAAAACTATTCTTCATAATGAATAACGTAGCTATAATATAACTCTACGATTTTCATCAATTCAAAATTATGTTGAAGAAATAAAAGAATTTACCTTGAAAGACCATCCATCAATTGGATGAGCTTCTTCAATATATACAACGACAAAATCCATGATATCTGAAAAGTCTTGAGCTAGAACACCAAATTCTTTCAGTTTATTCATAAACACTGGGCAACTACAAATGCCAAAGTACACGACTAATGCTCTCTCAGCTTGAAGTAAATCAAGTAAACGCACACATTTCTTTCCATCGGGTGTTACCAAGGCAACATTTTGTGCCTCCAGTCCGTTTCGCATTTCCTTTGTAATATCGACAACTCTTGATTTCCAAACTGACTTAAACATTTCCCATCCAAGAAATGTTTCTCAGTAGTTGGTTTTATGGATATTTAATCCCGTCACTTTTCTCATACCATTCTCGAGCACAAACCCTAAACCTAGTTATTCATGAAAATCATAAAACATTAATCATGATCATTTTGACAGAAAAAAGGAAGAGATGCCATATAATGGTGTGAGAGTTAGTACAACATTATAAGGCTTTTTTTGTTGTGTGGAAGGACGTACTTATTTATGAAGACAATATGTATGCGATTAGAAAAAAGTTTTATGGTTGATTGGACAACCAGTACAAAGCCCACATTTAAATTTAAGAACAGTCCAAATGCATACAAAAATTTTATGTTGCCCAAAATACGTATGAACTAGCTGTCTAACATAAGATTGTATTACATTTATATCTATATACGAGTATCTATAATGTATATGCCATTTTAAACTATGAATTCCGAAATTTTATGTAAACTTGTAAATTTGATCTACCGTTACTGGCTTGACCATTGTTCTGCGAGGTCTAAATTATAGGCCCCCTTTACAGAGCTTTTAAGCTTTTTACTTCTGCTATCTGCATATTTCGTTTAAAAAATTTAACATCTGTAAGGTTGGTAAATTTTAGCTTGAGCTTACTTGCCTGCATTACAGGAAAAAATGTCCGAAGAAACGAGTGATTGTTTTGGTTAAGGCGTGACATATAAGCAACGTAGGTTTCTCACCTGGAATATAATAAAATATGCTACAAATAGCAAAGGATATTGCTTGATTCTCAATTAGAATATTATCACTAGCTAAATTGAAAACTTGTTAATAGTATTTTGTCTTTTTTAAATTAAATCCATATGTGCGCTATTCGTACCTTTTTTCTTAATCTGCCCGTACTCGCACTGTCAGTGGCTAATCACTATGTGAAATGTGGTTGTATCTAACATCTTTTCGGAACATCGGGCATCGCATAATAAGGCCTGTTTCAAGCGTTGAATTTTGCATTTTCTCGAATACAATTTGGCGCTCGCGTTTTGCTCACAACAAAGTCTGGAACGCGATAAAGGAAAGGCGTCGTGTAATATTATTGGAAGAATAACAATCAACGTTGAATAAGGGTTGCTGCATTTTTTCAAAACAAAGTAGAAGTGCTTTTACAACAGAGATTATTAAAATACGTTGCTTCAGACTAGTTAAAATATACAAAGCATATTCAATTTTTTGTCTTCTTTGCTTAGCTTGCGATATAACATGACAATGAAAGTCTGTAATCGTTTACCGTGTTTAAATTTAAACTTTGCGCCATATTAAAATATCTATTTTTACCATAGATGTTGTAGTCATAAGTACGTACATATTATATGTGTGCGCATTGTGCCATCATGATTATCCAATATGGCGGCGTCAACATGGCAAAGGATATATAGATTGTACTACAAAAATGAGTTTTTTCGCAGTTCTTGCCATTGTATTGTATCGAAATTTATCCAATCAAAGTTTATATAAAAAAGGAACATACAGTGATACATACAGTGTACACACACACACACACACACACACACACACACACACACACACACACACACACACACACACACACACACACACACACACACACACACACACACACACAAGACACATTACATGGCATAATACTTTAATCGTAGAAGAGAAAGTCGGTGGTAATGTATTCTTCAAATGTTCATAAAGGTATTGGCGGAAGCATTTTTTCCATAGCAGAACTATAAACCACCTTGTGACATGCAGTACAAAGTATATAATTAAATCCACCTGTTTTTAAATGACGTGTCATGCTCTATGATATTGTCGTGTTGAACAAGCACTTTGATTAGTCTGCTTTGTGGCATGTTCATAGCTGCTCGATAAAGATAGTTGCATAGGTTGGTTTTTGTAGTTAGTCATTCATTGAAGTATCTCTTAATTTGCTGGC